CTACTCAAGACATTAGTCACACTGTACATTAATTATCGTATCTCCCAAGGATTTAAACTAAATTCAAATAGGGAGCAAAATACATGTAAAACATATCGTTTTACATAGCGAAACAAGTTAATCTAAAATAATTTGGCAATTTTTGTTATTGATTGACCAGCGTCATTTATTTATATATATATATATATATATATATATATATATATATATATATATATATATATATATATATATATACAGGGTTACTGGTAACTCGACGTATTCCCGCCAAGGCGTGATAGTTGGGGTCATAACCTATCATAGAGGAATACGCAAATATCTTTTATCTCTATGGATATTGTGACGGTGACGCTCCAGCTGGTCGCCGTGAATACCTACAGCGCTACCCTAATCGCCGACCACCCCATGTCACAGAAGATGAAGAAATCTTGAGTAAATTTCAAGAAGATCCAACCACTTCCACGAACATAGTTGCTCGTCGCTTAGGTGTATCGCAGTGGAAGGTCTGGTCTACTGTGCATACTGCGGGGCTATACGTACCACTACACACCAGTGCATGTGATGGAAGAAGGAGATTAATATTGGTTAAAAATAAAACACAAATTCCTTTGTCTGCTTAGAACTCGACTACCTGACCTCATTCTAGAGCTAGATAAATAGGGATGTTTTTAACATGATTTGCACAATTCATCATTATCATCATTACAGCCCTTCACAAGTCCACTGCTGAACATAGGCCTCCCCCAAGTAATGCCACAAAGCACGGTCCTGAGCCACCTGCATCCATCGACTTCCTGCATGTCTTACCAGGTCGTCACTCCATCTAGTGGGGGGTCGCCCTACACTACGCCTACCGGTACGAGGCTGCCACTCGAGAACCTTTCTTCCCCATCGGTTATCGGTTCTTCGAGCTATATGGCCGGCCCATTGCCACTTCAGCTTACTAATCCGTTGGGCTATGTCGGTCACTCTGGTTTTACTGCGGATATCCTCATTTCTGAGTCTATCACGCAGAGAAACTCCGAGCATAGCCCTCTCCATAGCTCGCTGAGCGACCTTAAGCGTCCTCATACGGCCAGCAGTGAAGGACCACGTCTCAGATCCGTAAGTCATCACTGGCAACACGCACTGGTTGTACAATCTAGTTTTTAGAGATTGAGGTATACCTGACGAAAAGATATGCCGTAATTTCCCGAACGCTGCCCAGCCGAGTTGAATCCGTCGATTGACCTCTCGGTCGAAGTTGGACTTACCTAGTCGGACTATTTGTCCCAGGTAAACGTATTCGTCAACAACTTCGAGCATAGTGCTCCCAACAACTACCGGCATAGGTGTGACATGGACATTGAACATGATCTTTGTTTTGTCCATGTTCATCTTAAGACCTATCCGTTGGGAGGCACTATTGAGGTCATTGAGCATAGTGCTTAAGTCCTCCAGCGATTCTGCCATAAGGACTATATCGTCGGCAAATCGAAGGTGAGTGATGTACTCGCCATTGATGTCAATACCGTATCCTTTCCAGTCCAGTAGCTTGAAAACGTCTTCCAATGCAGCGGTGAAGAGTTTCGGGGATATAACGTCACCCTGTCTTACACCTCTCTGCAGTTGGATAGGTTTCGAGCTCTGGTTCTGTACTCGGATAGCCATCGTAGCCCTACTGTACAAACACTTCAGCACTTCGATATACCGACAGTCAACTTGGCACCGCTGAAGGGACTGTAGCACCGCCCAAATTTCGACGGAATCAAAGGCTTTCTCATAGTCCACATACGCCAGGCAAAGTGGCAGATTGTACTCTTCAGTCTTCTGTACAATCTGCCGCAGGGTATGTATGTGGTCTATGGTACTGAAGCCTTTTCGGAAACCGGCTTGTTCGGGAGGCTGGAAGTCGTCAAGTCTGCGTGCGAGACGATTCGTAATGACTCTCGAAAACAGCACGTAGACGCGGCTCAGAAGGGAAATCGGTCTGTAGTTCTTTAAGAGAGCGTTGTCGCCTTTCTTAAAGAACAAGACCACCACACTTCTGCTCCACGCCTCTGGAGTAGTGCCACCATGGAGGACGGAATTGAAGAGCTTCTGAAGGACTTCAAGTACCGGTGTTCCACCCGCTTTCAGAAGCTCCGCTGTAATTCCATCCTCGCCTGGGGCCCTGCCGTTTTTAAGGTGCTGGAGAGCCATTCTAATCTCGCTTAGACTGACGTCCGGGATATCATCGGAATAGTGTCGGATAAGACTTGCTCTTGGATCGTTACTCACACTTGCGTGTGGCTCCAACGATGATGTGTACAGCTGCCCATAGAACCTCTCAATCTCACTCAAAATCTCAGGTGTCCCGGAAACGATGTTGCCACACTCAGTCTTCAGCCTTGACAGTTGGCTCTTTCTGGCAGACAGATCTCTGGCAAAGACTTTGGAGCCCTGGTTCCGCTCGATCGCTTCTTTAATACGAGAAGTATTAAAGTTGCGTAAGTCTCGCCGTATGCATTTGGAGATCTGTCTGTTCAGTTGCCTGTATGCTGTCAAATCTGTTGACGATTGCAGCCTCATCTCCCGTCTAACAGCCATGAGATTAAGAGTGTGATCGGAGAGTTTTTGTGTTCTTCTGCGGCGGGTCTTGCAGAACTTAGCTCCGACCGCATGGACAGTTTCCACGAGCTTGTCGTTCATATCGTCCACTGCATTGCAATCTTCTAGGCACTGGAAGCGGTTACGTAACTCGAGCTGAAAGGTTTCGGGATTCTGGATTAGAGCACGAGGGGGACGGAGCGTTGACTTCATTAGACGAGGCCTCTCCAACTTAACGTTTAGGTTCAGTGTGCCTCTAACCATTCGGTGATCGCTGCCAGTTTTCACCCTTGCGATCACTGAGACATCACTGAACAGTTGGCGTCTGGTCGTCATAATGAAGTCAATCTCATATTATCCATTAGCCGTGTAGTGGCGGTTAAGAATATCCACTACCCCATATCTTCCCGTGGGTGTCGTAAGAGGCGACAGAGGGAGACAGGCAGGAGATGGGCAGCAGCGTCTTCCTGAGGACAACTGTGACGTAATAAAAAAACTGCGGTTGCCAACCCGCTCGCCAAGCGTGGCAACTATGGCAAATACCCCCCAATGAATAAATACACAAACAGACGGCCCCCAGTCCCCGGCGGCCCCGCTATTCCTGGCTACGGTGGCGACCATGGTAACGGCGGGGCAGGGGGGTGCTAAGAATCTCCGGTGGAGGTTCGGTTGCCACCTACGACGACTCGACCTGGCAACATATAACGCACGCACCCTGAGGACTGACGAGAAGATACTGGAGCTGGAAGAAGAGGTAGACAAGTTGCGCTGGCATATTATTGGATTATCCGAGGTCCGAAGAGAGGGGGAGGACACGGCAATCCTCGAGTCCGGCAACTTGTTCTATCACCGGGAGGGCGACCATCTGTCCCAAGGAGGTGTCGGATTTATCGTCCACAAATCTCTCGTCAACAACGTTGTAAAGATTGGGAGTGTGTCGACGAGGGTCGCGTACCTGATACTCAGAATCACCAAACGGTATTCGCTGAAGGTCATTCAGGTTTACGCACCAACCTCGGCACATCCCGATGAGGAGGTGGAGGAAATGTATGAGGATATTTCCAGAGCCATACATTCCTCCAAAACCTACTACACGGTGTTGATGGGAGACTTCAACGCAAAACTGGGCACAAGAGAAAGCGGTGAGCTGAAGGTAGGGAAATTTGGAGTAGGACAACGGAACCGAAGGGGCCAGCAGCTGGCCGACTTTATGGAGAAAGAGGGACTCTTTATGATGAACTCTTTCTTCCAGAAGCGGCCCCACAGGAAGTGGACCTGGTCGAGCCCCGACGGTTCGACAAAAAAAATGAGATTTGCACAATTGATTACATACAATTATTTTTCACAAAATCATTTTTATTTTTAATTACTTATCTTCTGTTTGGAAAAAGTTGTACTTTTAGTAGCGTTACTTCGAAAATGATGAGACTTTTTGCACAGTGTAGTATTGATAAATAAGTATCCAGGTTTTCATTAAGTAAAAATAATAAAATGAAAATAATACAGCTGTAAGTTTTTTTTTTTAGAAATTTTTGACACCAGACTTTTGGGATTTTTGAAAAAAATAATTTAAACCCAAATATCTCGAAATTGGTCCACATTTGCATAATGCATTTTATGGCTCATTTGATAGGTTATGACCCCAACTATCACGCCTTGGCGGGAATACGTCGAGTTACCAGTAACCATGTAGACTAGCTTTGACTTTCACACATTCACTATCACCACAGTTCATCACAATAAACGTGGTAGAACCACGCTGCAGCTATATTATAGTTGAAGAATGAAAGGATCGGACCGCGGAAGGAGCACGCTCTTACAGAATATCAGCGTAAAATAGAAGCTTAATGCTACTGTAATGTGGTGAGTGTATAGAACAATAAACCCTTATTACAGGAAACAAAGCATTCCACCTTAGTCATCAGGGGTGACAACGCATCTGCATTTTGATTCTGGATTGAGGATAAATGTAAATATCTATGGGCCACAGTATCCACTTACCGTCAGGGCGACTGTGTGCTCGTTTGTAACCCTTATTCTATAACAAAAAAAAAACTCAACTACTGAACATAGACCTCCACCATAGATTGTGATCCATGGTCCATAATTACCTGCGTGTTTAGTAAGTTTGTCACTCCAGTGCGAAGTGAGGAGTCACCAACACTGCGTCTGTACAAAGCTTCCATAATCTCAAAATTTAAGCATCACCATCTAAAAAAGTATCAAATCAACAAACGCAGTACACAGATATAATCCCAATGACAAATCCCAAATCGATATTGTATTGCATTCGCAATTTCACCTTCCTTTCCTAAAAATGAATAAAAAGAAGCACTGCTACTCAAGAACCTTTCATCACTATCGGTTATCGGTTCTTCAAGCTATATCGTCAGCCCCAGCTTTGTCTTTAGTGTATTGTAAAATAATCTTACCTCTGAGCAAGAGCAAGTTTCAGGCGATCATTTTCGTAGCGCAACTGTTGCTCGGTGGACTCTGGTACTGCGGGATCAGGTGGCGCCGTCGTGGAGGCCAAGGGCCCCCGGGGCGCCCGACCCACTGTTGCATAGCCACCCTAAAAATTTGTATTCATATAATAATAATAATAATGTCCTCCAGACCGAATTTCGGCCACGGCGGCCCGCCTCAACGGAGGCTAGCCATCGGCGCAGGACAGGATTATAGTGCCCAAGGGTATGCGCAAGCACAGGTGCACTCTCTATTCCCTCACTTTCATAATCCGATGGGACGGTAAGCCGACACGACCAGAGAGAGATCAGGCGCAGGACCAACGGCTTTACGTGCTTTCCGAGGCACGGGGGTGAGATACCGCCAACTTCCTGACTCCAGGGCAACTACTGAGAATTTCTTGACAGAAAAACTCAATAATTATTTTATTGTCCCGACCCGGGATTGAACCCAGGACCTCATGATCAGCAGTCGCACTACTACAACCACTAGACCAACGAGGCAGTCAATCGTATACATATGCAACAACCGTTCACATTTGATTTTGATGATGGTGACCATAGAATACTATAATACACAATAGAATGGCTGTCAACTTTATTTTGTACGAGGCTCGGCATCGCCAAACATTCGTGTTGACAGACTGAGTAAATTTACACATTTAAGACTTTTGATTAATGTTCAAAATCATCATTAAAAAATCGTTTAAATTTTAATATATATTAATTTGTAAATAGAGTGCAATTTGGCAATTTCTAAATAATTTGCATACGAAATTTGGATTCGGTTCGATTCGGTGGATTCGGTTGTAACGTCAAAACACATCTCATGTTGACATTTATACGTGTGAATTGACGTGTTACTGACATTTTAGTGGCTACGCGGGCTCCGCCCACTCCCCCGTTCTATTATGTATATATTGTAGTATTCTGTGATGGTGATCATGGGCAACTTTCTGTATATTAAATATAAAGTGCATGGTAAGAGAACATATCATAATGTCCCTCAGACCGAATTTCGGTCACGGTGGCCGGTCTCTACGAAGACTTGTCTTCTGCGCAGGACATGACCCATGCATATGACATCAGGACGTCAAACACCACTCCCCCCTCCCCCTTGCCAAAGGTAAAATAAGTAGTATACATTAAAAATAAGTGAATTAAACGCAATAAAATCCGTAAACATAATTTTGGTCATTGGGTAGTATTCACATAAATATAAGGAATGACAAATAAATAACATTAAACGTACTTTTAGCACAATATTAAGACATTCCTAACACTTAATATGCGCAATATTATTTGTTTATACATGAACTCTATTATAAATAATATAATCTGAGCTGAGGTACTATAGCCCCTTAAAGATAACTATACGATAGTATTAATATAACATCATTGATATCAGAGGTTTAAAGTAACTAATGCTTGTAATACAAAAAATAAGGAAGAATTATTTACTACACAAATGAAGTTTAAAATAAATTACAGCGCCTGTAAGAGATGACAAATTAACGTAAGTTTTGTGAAATAACGTTTTGTTATATTTTTATTTCTATTAAAACTTAAGAGTAGCTAATTGATCCAACGGACCCAGTTCTTAATATTTCTTCAACGATAGTGTAGAATAGCAAATAACGACGTTGGTAATCAGATAGTTTAGTAAGTGTCAGTAGAATGTTGTAAAGTGTGATGTTACTTCAAAGAAGATATCGTATTTTTGTTTTGTTTTTTTTTAATATTTCTATGATGATTTATCCCTCTTTATTTCGTATAAGTAAATACTTTATTTTGTTAGAAAATATAGATTTTGTTTAAAATAAGTAATTACATTGTGTATAGAAATTATAACAATTAGCCTAAGACATGTCACAAAACTATGGAGAAATTTAGTATATTTTTGTAACAGCTCTTAAGTAAAAACAATAAATATTAGTATTTGATTCAAATTGTATTTTTCTTCACACATATCGAATCCTTATTGGGAAGTAACCATTTACGTTTATAAAGCAGTTTTGCAATAAGCTTATGATATTATACTGGATCCAGTGGACCCGGTAGCGAGTACTTGTGCTACAAATTAGGACGTGACTCTCTAAGTGTTAATCAAAGTAATCACCCATGCAATCGATGCATCCTTACCAACGCATTAGCAGTTTATTGATACCCTTCTTGAAGAAATCAGCTAGACGGGAGGCAACAAAATTTTGTGACATACATATTCCATAATTACTCGCAAATTTTAACGTATCCATGATGAAGAAAAAGATTAAAATGCGATGAAAACATAACACTAATCAATAAACAAATGACGAATGTATGTATTTTTTCTTTGCTAATGTTGAAAAAAGAAGTATTTTTAAAAATAAAAATTCACGTTTTTAAAATAAAATTACAAGTCGACCAAATCTAAGAAATACATTTTGACAGTTGTCAGACTTATTGCACCAAGCATGCCAACCAAAAAATGGGAACGTACAATATTCGATTATTAAAAAAATCGATATCGATTATTTAGAGTTGGTAATCATTTAGTTTGGTTTGAATAATACCAGAATAAATTAAAAACGGATAATTTAAAACATAAAATTTATCAGTTTCTTTGTATTTATTGTTACTGATAATTTCCAGAGGAACAGTTATAAAAGATTTTTTAAGATTGAAACTAGATTGAGAATAAATTTATTCAATCACTTTCAGTAAAACTAGTAGGGATGTCGTTGTTTACATTAATTATTATTTTATTTTCAATAATGCAGTCAAAATTAATGTCTCTTTCAGTCATCCATAATCATTTTTTTTGTTTTTTCTACCACTTTTGCCCAATCATTCTTTGTGGCATGGGCATATGCTTCAACAAATATATTTTTATATAGGATAGGGTGACAAACGTGTAATTGCGTGCGTTATTTGCCGTGCTGCAAGGGAAAATTAACCTCCTAAACAAAGTACCACTGACGCGCACACTCAATGAGATAAATAAGACAGACATTTTTACTTTTGGTTTAAGTGAATTCAAATGTTTTTTTTATAGAATAAGAATGACGAACGAGCACACAGTCCACCTGATGGTAAGTGGATGCTATGGCGCATAGACATACATATTTATTCTCAATTAAGAATTAAAATATAAATGCGTTGACACCCCAGAGGATTAAGATAGAATGCCTCGATTCCAGTAAAAAGGGTCTCCGGTTCTCTACACTCACCACACGAAACACAGCAGCATTACGCTGCTATTTTACGCTGGTATTCTGTGAGAGCGTGGTCCTGTCCCGGTTGAGCCGACCCATTCGTGCTACGACTATAATATAGATGTAGCGTGGCTTTACCACGTAGAAAAAGTTATTATAGAGAAACAGTCCAAAAAGTTAAAGCAGAGTCACAAAATAAGAAGACAAACAAATCACAATATAACGCACAGTAAGCTCTCGAAACAGAAACAGAAACTTTTTTTATTCAATATAGATTATGAATAATACTTATTGAGTCACTTTTTTTCATTTACCACTGGTTCGCAAAAAGAACCTCTGTCCTGGAAGAACCAGCAAGAAACCCAACGGAACTGGTTTTTTTTTTTAAATAAGAGCTTACAATCATGCGTGTTACAATTAACAACACTAAACAAATTAGAAATAGCTTGGTAGCGAACACTCTTCCCAGCAGTTATTATCATCCATAAATTCCTTAATATTAAAATAAACCTTTTTATACAAACTTAGTTTAATAAAGTTTTTAAACTTTGTGTACTTACGTCAAATTTTGTATATTTTCTGGAACTTTGTTGTAAAAGCGTATACATCGCCCCAAGAATGAATTACTGACTCTGTGGAGTCGAGTAACTGGTATGGTTATTTTAGCATGGCCTTCTATATGAGTTTTTTTGCCTACACAAATTTACTTTGACAAAGTAAAAAAATAAACTTGTTTTATTCATGATTCCTGTAATTTAAGGAATTTTAAAAATAAAAATTAAATTAAACATATAATACATTAAAAAAAATAATGATTCGATTATTTGGAAATTTTTACCGATTATTTGAATATTTTGCCGATCATTCACATAACAACGAATTTTAATCATCCAAACACTACGGTATTATACATAGCGACACATCATTGAAACGACAACAAGTAAAAAAAATTAATACTGGTCATTTTTTATTATTTTGCTTTGTTTGAAAAATTCAAATTTAAATTAGTAATAAAAAAACTATACACGTTGTAATGAAATATAGATAACTTCATAATTACTCTGATTTACGTAAAAAGTTATTTTAAATCATGTGAGTTACGCTGGTGCAAAGTTATTGCGGAATAATTAATGTGTAACGTCAAAAGGTATTTCTTAGATTTGGTTGACTATAATTTGAAATTAGAATTCTTAGTCAAACAAAAATTATTTTGACTTAAAATGGCCAGTACTGCAGAACGGCAATTTCATAGGTAAAGACCCATTAAGTAAAATTTGTATTGCAATTAAAAATTGCTTTTGTTACTGTTATCAGGACTATTTTTGTATCGCAAAAAAATACCAGTTTTTTTTTCATTCTTTTAATCTCAATAAATTAGTGGCAAAGAATATGTTTCGTTAATTACTCAGGCTCCTTCTTATTTAGGTGTATATTAGTTACAACTTAAAACATTAGCACAGTGTAAACGTAGCTCGATGGCGATACGTCAGCAGCGGCACGAGGCATGCATAAAATTGGAGTATATTAATTATCATCAAAAATAATTCATTCTTAACCTAGTATAGTATTATTTATCTGATTTACATACATAATTATTTTTACCTTATTAAAGTATAAATAGTTAAATTTATATCTGTTTCAGTCATTGAGCTATTATGTACTACGTACCAGAGGCGACACTGCATTCAGTTACTCTGTTCCACTCAACTACGGTGCATACACCGCACTTTAATCAGTCACTCGCTAGGCGCTTGTAGAGTTGTCACGTGTTGTGTTGATTTAGAAAAACATATCTTGACAAAAATATGCCGTCGTGTGCACTTAGATATTACACAAATAATTCAAGAAATGTCAGTAAAAACCAAGGAATTACTTGTCATCGGTTAATAAAATACTTAATCAATAAAAAAGTA